TCACGGACGAAGAGGCGATCCAATTGTCGGATGTGATGGAGAGAGCGGTGAAGATAATCGATATGTATATCGATGTCAACAACGATCGCAACGACGAGTTTCAGCTGTTCTATGAGTATGTCTTCAGACATTGACTTTGTTTGCGATTCAATCGATTCATTTGTTTTCGTTTTCCACTTCTTATGCATCAGTGAAGAGGCGGACAATCGATGGGAACAACAGGAGAGCGAATGGATCACCGAATACGAGGTGTGGGATGTGATGACCCAGAAGCTGATGGATTCGTACGGAAATATACTGAAAGACAAGTTGACACAAGTGTTGGCCGAAGAGACGGAGGCGTTGGCCGAAAGGGAGAGACTTCTGAAGGATTTAACGACATTTACGGCTCAACTCAAGAAAGATCCCAATCTGTCGATACTTTTGACTGAAAATGTCTACGACTTCGAGACCGCAGAAGTCGCTGATAATCAGACAAAGAGTTGAGGTTTTTGTAGACATTTCTTATACGGGTATGACTTCATTGTTCGCTATACTGTACTGTATTCTAATGAAATCTCAATGAAAGTCACATTAATGTGAAACAAATGACAATTAATTACAGTATAAAGTGTTTTCATTAATCCAATGTATTTCTATACTCTTACGTTATAAACATATAACTCTAAACATATACCGTAAACATTATATTCTAATGCAATCTCAATGAGAGTCATACCGGTATTAATGGCAAACAAATGCCTATTAATTTAATTATATAAAAAGTGTTTTCAATAATACAGTATTTCATTCAACCGGCAATTAATTGCTATTCATTTTCATTAATAAAATAATTTCTACACTCTTTTTACGGTTTAACACTTTCAGACAATACCAACCATTTAATAGGAAACCCTTACAACTGATGTCCCTTTAAATGTGCGTCCATTTCATCAAAACTTGTCGTTTCATAAGTACAGCCCGAATGAGAGCACCGGTAGTCATCTTTGCCCATATGTTTCTTCATATGTACATTCAAACTGTACGACTCGTATGTCGTAAACTCGCATTCAGGCCAATAGCACCGGTAGGTCGACTGGTTCTTATGCCTCCTCACATGTGTAGCAAAGGCTCGCTTATGGTTAAACAGTGTCTCACACCCAGGCCAATGGCACCGGTAGCTCTCTGTAGCCGTATGTGTATTCATATGTTGTTTACGGGCGTCCGAGACGATGAACTCCCGGTCACAGCTGGGCCACTCGCACCGTAACCTCAGTGCCGGGTCGCGACTGCGCTGGTGGTCCTCATACCTCTCTTTGGTTCCGTAGGCCTTCCCACACACGTCGCACTCAAATGGCAGGGTATGGGTGTTGCGCGTGTGGGCCACGAGTTTAACCGTCCACTTCGTCTTAAACGAACAGCCGGCGCTCTCGCACTCAAGCCATGGCATGTCTGGCAGGGCGTCGGGATGTTGGCTGAGCTGGTGGTACCACAAGTACTTACTATTATGGAACTCCTTATGGCAGCCATCGAGCGAACACTGAAACAGCCGATGCCTCGCCCGGTGTTGCAATAGACTGCTCCGGAAGGCGAACAGTTGTGAACAGCCTTTCCAACGCACACCGCCTGACCAAACATCGGAAAGGCTGTCCAAACACGTGATTACCACTACTTATGTGTTTCCGGAGCGGCCAAACATTTGCGTAATATTTGCAGCACTCGTCGTAATCACAGAAATACAGTCTACTCGAAGCCTTCACTGCATTAGGAGTTCCTTCGGCCATAGAATGACTGCATATATGCTCTTCCAGTGCCTCTTTGGATGTCGTTTCGAACAGACATGTAGTGACCGAACAGCTGAATGGTTGTCCCAACACGTGTTTACCACTTGTCTTATGCCGTCGTAATCCACTCCTTTCGGTGTAATGTTTACAACAGTTATCGTAATCACAGAAAAATCTTTGTCCCGTATGTGGCATCTGGTGCTCTCGAAGGCTGTTCCCACGTTTGTAAGACTTACCGCAGTTCTCGTAATCGCAGACATATTTTCCCGATATTTTTGTCAATTTATTTTGCGGTTCAAGACTTTCAATGCTTTTGTTTTCTGTTTCTGGTATTTGTTTCGTAATTATTGTTCGTCTTCAAATAATGAATACAATCAATAAATCGTTAATCAAAACTATTTTAACATTTAATTTATATAAAATTGTAAGCAATAGTAATATCAAAATAATCTTTAAATACAAAATGTCTCATAAAAACATTATTAACACTATATTCTAATCATTGGTATCTAATGGCAAACAAATGCCAATTAATTACACAAAACATGTTTCCATTAATACTCCAATCAATCGCCAGTTAATTGCCATTCATTTCCATTAAACCAATAATTTCTTAACTTTTTTGATGTGTCTTTTCATATGTCTGTCCAATAGATCCTTACTCTTTGCCACAAACTTACAGCCGGTATGAGAGCACCGCATATCCGGCCCATCAGAATGTCTATCCATATGACG